TTAGGGGTTTAGGGTTAAAGGGTTGACGGGTTGGAGGTTAAGGGGTTTAAGGGTTTAGGGGTTTAGGGTTAAAGGGTTAAAGGGTTGAAGGTTAAGGGGTTTAGGGATTGGGATTTAGGATTAAGAGGTTTGGGGGTTTAGGGCTCGGGGGTTTAAGGTTAAGGGGTTTAGGGTTAAAGGGGTTGGGGTTTAGTGGTTTGGGGTTTAGGGTTACGGGGCTTGGGGGTTTAGGGGGTTTGGGGTTTAGCGGGTTAGAGGTTTAGGGTTAAGGGGTTTAGGGGTTAAGGGTTTAGGGGTTAAAGGGCTTTCAGAGGTGTATCTAGGGTTTGGTGGCTCATGAGAGCCTAAGGATTGATTTATGTAGGGCTGAATTTTGCAATTTGGATAAGTCGAGGGTTCATGTAGGGCTTCGGGGATTGTTCAAGATGTGTTTGGGATATGAGGTTTAGGGCGGTGCGGGCCGTAGGTGTTTTTTTTGTCTGGAGTGTTGTTAGATATTCGGATGTTTGTATTGCGCTACGAAACCAAACCTGTCCCGGGTCCTGATACGGATGATTCGTGCTGGAATTCACCTCAAAGTCACCTCCAGAGGCATGAGGATAGCGAAGGTCCTAAACCCCAGCCCCCACACCCTAAACCCTAGACCCCCAGATGCCGTCAAAGTTTCGATGTACCAGTTGCTCGCTCTGTAATCTGTCGGAGGCCGGCTCCAAACGAAGTCCTTCGTCGGTTCTTAGAGGTTACATGTATGTATATATATATATATATCACCATTATGGAGTGAGGTCCGAAAAAACCATCCCTTATCGTGGTTTGAACAGTCCTGTTTTTTTACGGCTAATTCCACAATAACACATATAAACAAATACGGAGCCTCAGGGTTAGAGGAAGTTTAGCTTAATGACTGGCCACATGTGTTAATAAACACCACCCAGGTAATGAACACACTTCCCGTGAAATCACTCTGAATCATCTTAGCCAGTTAAAAGCTGATTTTGACTTAGGGCGTGTAAGATAAGAACACAAGAGCAGGAGCAAGAGCAAAAGCAGGAGCAACAACAAGTGCAGGCAAGAGCCGCAAAAGGAGCAAGAACTAGAGCAGGAGCAGGATCCTCCCCGACGGTAAAAATAGGCTTACAAACACCCCTTAGAATGAAAGCACGTCTCGAGTTCTTGTTAGGCCCCCCCTTTAAACTGCTGGGGATGGGATTAATTAAGCTGACAATAGGGAAACCACATTATCTACTGTAGGTCCCCATTGTTTGATTACTCGAGGTCCCTACTATGTATTATCCCCTATTCTAGTAACTTAAGCTACAATTGTGACCGGCCGGTCGGCTACAGAAGGGGAAAATAATTCAAATCTTGTAAAATAGTTGATCTGCGGACTTCGGAAAAGTTGTGGGGATAGTTGCCGAAGTAGGGGGGAGGGAGGCGGGGGGAGGGGGCGAGGCTGATCTTTTGGCAGTTAACTTTTGTTCAACTTTTTTCAATTATTTTTCAATTTTTCAACTTTTTTCAGCTTTGTCGGAGGGAAAAGCTGGATTTCCCTTCCCACCCCATTCCCGCCGCCCCCCGCTCCGCCACCTCTCCCCCATCTGCGTCCCGCCTCCTCCCCCTCCCGCCCTCCCCCCTCCACCTCCGGCCTCCATCAGTTTTTTTCTTCAACTTTTGTTCAACTGTTTGCTCGGCTGCTCCTGCACCCAGGTCCCCTGAGCTCAACTTTCTGCTCAACTTTTTTCAACTTTTACTTGAAAAAAGATGAAAAAACTGAGCCTTCTGTCATCAACTTTTTCAGAACTTTTGGAATCAACTATATAACTTTCAGATTCAACTTCTATTCAACCTTTCATTATTCTGGGATACCCAGCCTGTGCCCGCCCAGCGCCTGTCTCAAAACTAGAACCCAGTCCTTGGTCCGGAAGTCCCGGTGCCCTTCCATCACCGACGGATGCAGGGGATCCTTGACAGGCTCCGGGCCAGGGTTTAGGGTTTGGGTTCATGTTAGAGTTCGTTTAGATGTCCGTCCAGAGTTGAGGGTTCAGGGTTTAGGGTTCGGGATTTAGGGTGTGGGGTATACTGTTTTTAGGGTGTCTGGGTTGTGCACCAGGGCTTTTAGGATGTAAGGTGTATCTGTGGTTCCGGTAGCCTGCTGCTTTAAAAGGTCCTGTCGTATCTATGAAGAAAAATAACAAGCGGTACAAGCTATTATAACATAGGGCTTGGGCTACATGTAACAACTAAACCCTCAGCCCCGGGCGGAAAAATCGCCTGATAAATACGTCTGCAGGCCGCACAAGGCCGAAACCCTCAACCCTACGCCCGCAACCCCAACAGTTAACCCTAAACAGGAAAACGAGAAGCCTAAACAAAAAATAATGGTGCGGTCGTCGTTGTTGTGGTGGTTGCTGTTGCTTTTGTTGTTGTTGTTGTTGCTGTTGCTGCTGCTGTTAATAGTTGTCAGTGTGATTATTATTACGACCAGGCATTGATCATCCCTAAATTGGTGGATGAAGCTGCCAAACTTAGGACCTGAACAATTGTGGGTGTCCTTGCCTTCTGCTTCCTGTGGGACTGTCATGCAAATCTAGACTCGAGTATTGTATAACATCCGTGGAACATTATGTATCTGTATTACTTTCCATATAATCGTAATGCAAGCATTGCACAGTCCAGTATGAATAGCCCAAGCATAGTCTTGACAAAACCTTGGTGTGGAAGCAACTCCGAACCCCCAACCGTGGTTGCCCCCAGCTAAGAATGACCTCAACATTGTCGAAGGCCTCCCAGTGGGCACAAGGGCCTCCACCCTTTGCAAAAGCCGAGCGAATGACGTTTTGCAAAACACAATGCGTGGTGATCCGTCAGTACACCGCCTTCGCGTCGTTGGAGAAGGTTGAAAGGCCATACAGTTTTCTTGAGTACTTCTAACCCATCTTCCATGTCAGCTTTGCTGAACTGGCAGGAAATCAGAAATTCTTGGCTTGCACGAGCATCTCACGAGTTGTTTGCTACTCTCGAAAATTCAATTCGTCGGTCATGTTTTCACTGCGTTGAGTGGTGAAGTGACTCTCAGCGTGGCAATCTGCACGCTGAGAAAGTCCCCCACCACAGTCTGCGAAGCTCGCTGTACATTGTGCATGCCAGCCGAGAGGCATCTAGTCATTCCTGACAACTGAAAGATTTGCCTCAGTACATCTTGATTTCTCAAGATCCAGCCTTCGAAGCCTGCAGCAGGAATCATGCGATTCCCAAATTGATCAGTGCTTATGCGATCAATCTCCATTCGACTCGTTTGCAGAAATCGAACTTCTCCTTTTTGTGAGTTGCCCAAGCCTCCATCCCTCTTTGGTGAGTCCGTTATCCTTTGCTGTCCAGGCCAGGCCATGCGCTCCGGGAAAGCCGACTACCACCTCGGACCTGCATCATCGCCCGTGATGTCCGTCCCTCTCCCCGGTAGAACCCCCCGCAAACCTGGGACCACAGGGAAGGACTGTGTCGTTAGTGCTTCGCTGCCCATCACCATCGCGCAGGCACTACAGATGGATGGTCTGTCCATAGCATATGCATGTTGGCAAAGATGGTCTGAGTGTCTGACGGTCGATGTGTTCGCGAAGCCGGCGTCTGGATTTTGATCAATTGCCCATACCTGGTTTGGATGTGTGAGTTCGTACGACGAACAGATGCTTTCCTCTCCCTCGTTCAAGGCAGCGAGCCACACCTCTGGGCGGAGTACATCCGAAGGCTCCAAGCGATCAAGTCCAATGCAAGCGGCTTGGCTGGTCGGGCGTCCACAGGCTCACTCCAGCTCCTGTAGAAGTTCGTTGTTGACCGGAACCTCGCTCTGAAAGTCCAGGGTTTTGTGCTGGTAGAAGTACCTGGACAGATCATACAATACAATTAAAAGGACTGACTCACGCGGCACACGGCACACACAGGCACACTGCGGTGGGCTCACACGCAGAATGACATGACATGAACTAACTAACGAAACGGGTTCAATGCACTTGAACTGACATATGAGCCTGGGCGTGAGCCATGTCATGACATGTACCGCTGAGAGTAGGCGAAGTAATGCCTTCCTAACAAATGAAGGTAGCCATGATCATGACTATCACGTTAACCGTTAACATTTCTTACGTGTTGACCTGCTTGATGAGTTAGGTCGGGCATGAACACACATGTTCTAGTCTGTGTCAGTGTTACATGGTGTTGATGAGCCAGTGCGACGATATGGAGTGAATGACCGTGGACCATTGTCAGGTGCGAGTTGCTCCGACCAATGGATCTTGACAGCCCTGAAGAAGCGGGTCGCGAATCTCGAGAGGGGGGAGACCTCCTCCAGCACCTTGTGCTTGTGCCGCAGTCGAAGGAACGGCTCCGGCGCTCGCAGGCGCAGCCGAACTGCACAGCGTCTAGTTCACATACCTCGATGTGGTAGATGCTGGAGACTGTTGCTCAATGATATCCACAGGGAACCACACCACCTTCTCCTGTGTCACATCTGCCTCTTGCAGGAGCAATCGCAAACCCAACCATGCCATGAAATAGATCAACTCATGCTCATGGCATCCCAGCCCGCCACCCCGCTTCGAAAAATGCCGGCAACTCGTGCCTGCAATGTGCAGATTGCAAGTCTTGAGACAGCAAGTGCGACCATGCGCAAGGCATGGAGCACGTGTTTGCGCCAGCCGATTGCTGCGGAGCAAAGGCTGAAAAACCTCAAGAGCCATGGCAGGCCTTTGAAGGAGCTGTGGTATGTTCTTTAGCTCGCTCCTGAAGAAATCGGCGATGTTGCCAAACACACATCCACCCTCGTGCTGGGCAGATAGTAGCCACTCTGCCTGTGCACCGGGATCCCATTCGATCGCGTGAGACATGTTGTGGTGGTTGCACTTGATTTCCCTGCCCAGCTGCAATCCAAGCCGGTAGCGCATCACTGACATCGCCGTTTCTGAGGCACGTACACCCGAGTAAGCCGTTGGTAAGCTGTCATCTTCCAGAGTTGTGGCCAGTGTCGAGTCGATCATCTTCCGGCACACCGTCGACCATCTTATCAAAGCTGAAATAAATCCCCAAAGTCCAACATGCCATCCAAGTCACGGGCGATGGATCGCTCTAGCAATGTGGCTGAAGGCTGGTGTTTGGGCCTGGGCTTGGGTGCGTGTGTGTTGCAGCATCTGAGTCGTGCGTGCCAACGCATCTGTGGCCTTGGAGGCCTCAGCTGCTGGTGGAGGAGGGACCGCGGAGGCCGGAGGGGCATAGCCGTTGGCGGCTGTGGGACCTGATTAGACTGAGGCTGAGGAGTGATATCAGTGAGACCGAATTTTGACTCGGGCATGCCAGTGAGACCGAATAGAGTCTTCATGCCTTGAATACTTCGTAACCCGAAGCTCTCGTCGTGCCGGGCTGATCTGGCCTTGGACGTGACCTTGGGGCAGCCCGTGGGTGCCAATCTTTCTAGCGGTTTGCCTCAGACTTCACATGGGCCACATGAGGTTCTGGCGCTGTGTGGTTGGTGCTGTCGACTGTATCCTGTGCGGAGTGGCTTCCTGATGTCCTGTGGCGGTGTTTGTCGTGTCGACTCCACGCTGTACGGAGGTGGCTTGCTGAGGTTCTGCAGCTTCTGTGGTTGGAGGCTGTTGTGCTTTCTAAGGTTCACTTCGGACTCTTCCGGGACCAGGCTGTCTCCATGAAACACACGCACTGATTTACTTTCATTTGCATCCAGCAGAGCTGCGCGGAAGTTGTGGGCAGCAGTGGCAGCTTGTTTTTCAGCTTGTCTTTCCATGTCATCGCAAAAATCACGAAAATCGTCGGGAGTTTTGCCTTCGTTGTATATGGCATTGTCTACAATGTCAGCCATGTCCCGCAGTTGGTTTCGTCCATGACATCGGGCTGGAAAAATCATGATCCTCTGAAGCGCCGAAACTGATCAGCCATCGCGTCGACAAAAACCAAACATAACTGGAACCTGTCTGTCAAGCCTCTGGCAGTCTCTTGCATCATCTACGATCAAGCGTTGTGCGGGTTGTGAGTGACTGTACGGTGTTGAAGCACTGTATGATCGAGCTGCCCAAAATCAACATCGTCAGCAGCTGTATAGTTTATAAGCGCGAAGCTTCATCTCATTGTAGTTGGCCAAGCGCTGCGTGCTATCGGAAGGCATGACAGGTTGTATTGTGCACCTATGTGTTGCGTTTGTTCTGTGTAAGGTAGGAGTGCAAGTATCTTAACCCCGTGACACATTCTGTAAGACTCTCTTACGACCCCACAAATTAAAAGAAACCTACACCCCGCCCAAACTCTTAAGACCCGACATAACATCCCAAAAAGAACAACCACAGCCTCGCAACATCTTGAAACCTCCGCACAAACTAAAAACAAAAAACTTTATACCTAAACCCTAAACCCTAAACCCTAAACCCTAAACCCTAAACCCTACACCACCCTTCAGCTTGCGTCCAATCGGCTCGCAGGGCGTTGGGGCGCCCGGGAAGCCAGAAGTCTCGATGGTGCTCTTTGCCTTCGTTGGGGACTCTGAGACTTGGGTTCGGGGCTTACATAACCCTAAACCCTAAACCCTAAACCCTAAACCCTAAACCCTTATCTATCTATCTATCTATCTATCTATCTGTCTGTCCATCTTTCTATCTACCGATCTATCTATCTATCTGTCTATCCATCTAGTTATCTATCTATCTATCTATCTATCTATCTATCTGTCTATCCATCTACGTAGTTATCTATCTATCTATCTATCTATCTATCTGTCTATCCGACTATAAATCTACCGATCTATCGATCGCTCTATCTGTCTATGCATCTATCTACCGAACTATCTATGTATCTACCTAACTATCTATCTATCTATCTATGTATCTGTCTGTCTATCTATCTATCTCTCTATCCGTCTGTCGATCTGTCAACCTATCTATATACACATGTATATCTAGATGTTTGTATGTTGCTTCAGTTTTTGTAAGTTTAGGATGTAGGCTCATAGGCTAATGTTGTCTTTTGTTATTGGCTCTCTGCCTTCTGGGTTGTTAGGTTTTCGCTTGTTAAGATAAGGTTTTGGATTTGGGGTCTTGTAAGACTTATCAGAGGCTTGTTAGATGGATCGATGTGGCTTATAAAGCTTTCAGGCTTTAGGTTGCGTGCCGGCTCTTATGTTTTGTTGCATATTGACTCCAGGTATTTGGTTCAAACGAGGCCTGGCAGGCGTTTCGGGACATGTTTTCCAGGACTATTGTGGCTCCTCCACTGGCCCCCGAAAGCTTAAAATGAAACCTCTTTGTCCCTAAACCCCTGTAGGCCCGAAAAGAGACAATCCTAGGGCTTCTAGCCATAGGCATAGAGATCAAACTCGGTACTCCATCTCCTTGACAAGGGATCCTGCACCAAGGAGCCCGAATATGGTGGCTAAGTGTTGCTATGAGGGTGGGGATGTCCATGACGATCATCATGACGAAAATGATGACGATTGCAAACCCATCCCCAATCTCCACGTTCTGGACGCTGTGAGACTTAAGCGAAACATTCAAACCTCACCTCCAGTCTCCCAAAGCCCAACCACCCAAGGCTCAGAAGCTCTGTAAACACAAACCTTCACATGTAGACCACTCATAACTTGAGAAATTCTAGTTCCTAAACCTGCTGCGGCCCGGACAGGGGGAAACTTTCAGCCGTTGCATCGACACAGCTGACATGGCCAGGCGGTGCGTGCGCGGTGAGAGTGGCGCCTTGAATGTTGAGGGGTTTTAGGGTTATTAAGAGTTTAGGGCTTAGGGCTTAGGGTTTAGAGCTTAGGGTTAAGAGTTTAGGGTTTAGGGTGTATAAGGTATAGGGCTTATAAGTTTCTGGGTTCAGGGTTTAGGGGGCTTCAAGGACTTGGGATTTATCTAAAGCATTTGGGAGTTTCAGACAATTAGGGTACCTTATTTTGGGGTCCTTATAATAGGGGTCCTATTATTTAGGGTACTATATTAGGGTCCCCTATTTTCGGAAGCCCCCATTTAAAGTTCAGTTTTCGGGATTTAGCGCTCCGGGTGTCGGGCTCATGGGTACAGATTAGCTGGGCAAGTTGGCGCAGGCTTTAGGAATGTAGCAATACTACAATCCAGATACCCGTCAGGCATACTTGTGGTTATCCTGAAACCAATCGATATAACATCCGAGCTTACACTACAGCCTAAGCCCCTAAACCCCTAAACCTAAATAACCCTACATGCACCTAGCTGTGACGACCTACTCTTCACTCTCCAGTGCCCATAAGACCGAGATGGAATCGAACGCATCCCTTCCACTGAACCCTAAACCCTGAACGCTAAACCCTAAACCCTGCATGTAACTACCCGGCCAGCCGAACCTTCAAGTACATCCTAC